TGATATGATATGATATGATATGGTATGATATGATATGATATGATATGATATGATATTATATATATATATACATGTGTGTGTGCATGCATGTGTGTGCGCGTGGGTAAATACAGTACTTCAACTTAGCTTCCGATCTGTTTCCCGACCCACTATCTCCTACGTGAAGGTTGCTCTTAAGAAAAAGCTTCCTTTACCCCAGGAACCTGAACAAGTCGAATAGGGTTTAGGGTTTAGGGCTTAGGTTTTGGGGTTTAGGATTTAGGGTTTAGGGTTTAGGGTTTGGTGTTCACCGTACTGCAGTTGTTGGGGTGCGAAAGGGAATACTATAGGTGAGTACTTGGGGCTACTTTCATGAGGAGAATATTTTGCTTGATGTAGGGGCCTTAATAATCAGAATAGGGTTGTGGGGGTTCTTTATTGTAGTTATAGTACAATATATACCCCAAACCCTATTCTAATTACTAAGGCCCCTATATTAACAGCCCCGACACCGGAAGGCCCAAAGCACTTACAGGTTGAACTTGATGACCCAAAGTGCAGGGCGTCGCTTGGAGGGTTGAGGGTTTTGGGGGTTTTGGGTTTTGGGTTTAGGGCTTAACGGTTTAGGGTTTGGGGTTGAAGGGTTGAGGGTTTTGGGGTCTGGGAACCTTAAACCCAAACCCGGAACCCTGAACCCTAAACCCTAAACCCTAGACCCTAAACCCTAAACGCTCAGGTGCAGTGTGTAGTTATAGGGCTTAAGGGTGTAGGGTTTGGGGTTGAAGGGTTGAGGATTAGGGTTCAATGTTCAGGGTTGAAGGGCGGTTACGAAGTCCTTAACCCAGACCCCCGGGAGGATCTAAGAAGTAGATCCCCTAATTTGGGACCCTAGCTACTAAAGGGTACTTTATCGGAACCCCCTTACGGGATCTACTTTCTAGATCCTCCCGGGGGTCTGGGAACCCTAAACCCTAAACCCTAAACCCTAAACCCTAAACAGAGTCCATGTGGGTTGAGGTCGGGCCGAAGAGGATGCGGGTAAAGAGTGCAGAAACCCCCGGGTCGCCAACCCTTACCCAAAGGTCCTATGTAAAAAAAATATAGGACAGGTTTAGGGTTTAGGGTTTAGGGTTTAGGGTTTAGGGTTTAGGGTTTAGGGTTTAGGGTTTAGGGTTGAGGGTTTAGGGTTCCTTTAAGGGGTTGGGGCTTAGGGTTCCTTTTAAGGGCTCCTAAGTACCTGTATGGGAGTATGTAGGGTCTCTAAATTAGGAATTACGATTATGATCTGGGGAAGTATCCCCCAAAACTGTACATAGGACCCTTTGGATTAGCAAAAAACACTCGGGTCTTGCCAAGAGCATTTGAATTTTCCCAAAAAGTCGGAAACCGGATTAAGGACAATTCGTGCTGGGATTCCCTACACTTAGGGATTGAGGCTTTTGGGTTTCCAACTTTTGGGCTCACCCTATATGGTACCTATTTCACGCTGGTCGCAGAAACATTTAAGCCACAAGCCCTGCAGCCATCGAGACATGCCGTCGGGTCTAAAGCCCGAAGCCCTTCGAAGCCCTTAGCCCTCAATCGCGAAACCCGTTTAGGGTTTAGGGCTGAAGGAAAAAATGCCTGATCTGCTGAACCCTGGAGCTGCAAACCAGAAACCCGGAAAAACCCTAAACCCTAAACCCTAAACTAACAAACCCTAAACCCTAAACCCCACCATTCTTTGCCGGGGTTCCGTGAAGCTGACGACAGTAGGTCGGAGCCTTGCCGAGAGCATGCCTGGGCTTAAATTAGGGTTTAGGGTTTAGGGTTTAGGGTTTAGGGTTTAGGGTTTAAGGTTTTTTTTGTGTTTATCTAGTTGCTGTATATGCCCGCGGCCAGACCCACAAAACTGTCTAAGGTGCCCTAAGCAGACTGATGACGATGCCGGTAACTGACCACCAAGTCAATAACACCTATTCAGTTCGGATGACTGCTAAAGTTCCTTAATCCCATACAGTCCTACTTTTAAAACACTATCTTGCAAAACCCTGATCTAGTACCATAAAAAGGAAACTGTAAACACCTGCAAAAGGAAGCCTGTACCACCCCTCCCCTCAACAAAAGCCCAGAGACCGGAGAGCAACTCCAGGGCAATGCGCCAGTTACCGCCCTGCAGAAGAAGAAGAAGAAGAAGGGCAGGGGGTGGAGGTTTAAGGTGTTTGTTGTCAGGGTCTAGAGTGTGTTGTTTGATTCTCGCGAGTTTGTGCATGGTCTTGAAGGGTTGAGAAGGTTGTACAAGAGCCATTACAAGGCGGTCTTTTGTAGGGTCTCGAAAAAGCGGACAAACTTTACACAAGGGATTGGGGCACTAGGCTGCGTGCGTCGTTCAGTGAATCAGGCAAGCGTTGAGGATAGAAGTTTAGGGTTTGGGAGTCTGGGGGTTTGGGGCAGCTGGGCTCAGGGCATTACGGTTGAAATTGTCGGGTTTTTGCCTTGCAAGGGCATCATGCGTGTACCATCGCTGACAACATCGCTGTAAGGGTTTGGTGGGTTAAGGTTGAACAAATGTGAGATGAAGTTTGGAGTGGCAAGAACCGTAAGCCCTAAACTAAACTCTAAACCCTCAAATCCAATCCTAACCCTAAGCCGCTACAGGGCTTGTCTAGGCTTCGGGGTCCGGGCCTCTTTGCAACATCCGTATGGTACGTAGAGCACGTGACCGAGCTGCAGCGGGGTGTGCTGCTCGGGTACCCGGTAGATGCACCATTTCGGGTTTAGGGTTTAGGAGCAACTAGAATGTTAAACGCCAAGGACACCAATCGTCAGCACCATCGATATGGCTTATTGTATTCTCATCGTCACCACATCATCAGCATCATCATCAGCATCATCATCAGCACCATGCTCTCCCTGTTCACAGGTCGAAGAGGCTTTCACGCAACACCCCCTTCGGGAGGGCCTTTTCGCAAGCACTGATCGCGGCATTGAAGCTGACGACGTCAGGCGCCAACCGAAGCATCAGCATCTCCGAGAGTAGCACCAGAGAAGTTTGCCAGAGCTTGGCGTTTTCGCCTACTTTGGCGTTCTAAAGCATGCTTCGGCAGTTTGTCGTTGGGGGTATGGCATTAAGGCACTTTTCAGGGCTAGGGCTTTGCTAGCATATACTATCTATCTTCATGATGCATGTAGTTACTATACTTTATTGCAATGTCCTAAAGAAGAGGATTGAGACTTGCGGTGCCCTGCCTTGCCCTGCCTACCCGGCCCTCCAAAAAACGCTTGAAGAAAAGAGCCATGGAATGAGTTTAGAGCTAAACCCTACAAGGACTAGGTTTCAAAAAGAGAAGAAAAACCCTCCAGAATCGGGCTACAGCGGCCAATCGCCATGCCACGATGCACTCGAAATTGCACCGTCGCAAAAATTTTCGCCTATGCGCTACTCAACTTCAAACCCTATAAACCCTAAACCCCAAACCCTAAACCCTTAACACCCTGAACCCCAAACCCTAAACGCCAAATGAAGAGGCGAGCTTCAGGCACTCATGGCAGCATTGAAGCTGACAACCTGCGGCACCAGCTCCTCTCGGACCATCCTCGGTGGTTGTTGAAGTTTTCGAGGGTTTAAGGTAGGTCTTCCAAGGACTTTTCCGAATTTTTGGCAGGTCTTCGGAGGATTGTTTTAAATGCTTTTCAAAGTGGTTTCTGAGAAGGCTTGAGATGGCTGCTGTAAGGGGCCTTTCTAAGTTTTCCTTTCATCAACTTAAGATCCAGGCTGAGGTTTTTGTTTCCGCGACAAGAAAATGGTTGTACTTATGTCAACTTCTTATCATGGTAACTATCTAAACCCTAATGTAGGGGCCCAATAATTAGATTTGGGGGTATATTATACTATAAGTATAATGAGGAGCCCCCAAAACCCCATTCTAATCATCAAGGCCCCTACATTCGACCCCTACACCCTGAACGTCCTTAACAAGAACTCTATATCCTAAACCCTAAACCCTGGACCCCAAACTCCTGAACTCTAAACCCTAAAACCTATAAAATAAACCTAAACCCAAAGCCCTGAACCCTAAACCCTGAACCCTAAACCCTATAAACCCTAAACCCTAAACCCCAATCTCTAAACCCTAAACCCTATAAA